AAATGCAGACATGATTTAAGTCTATCAGCCAGCAGCTTAGCAATAACTTTGTACAGAACACCACACAAGGCAATGGGTCTATAGTTGCACAATGATTCAGGATATAAGCATTTGGGAATGAGAGTAATGACTGTGTGATTCCAGTTCTTAAGAAGTTTCCCAGTATGAAAAAAACTTTTGATAGCACAGCACACATCAGATTTAATAAGATGCCAGAAGTGTTGAAAGAAAACAACCGTCATACCATCCTCCCCGGGGGATTTATCAATGGCCATATTGAAAAGGACTGCTGTCACCTCCTCCTCCTCAACAGGCTTCACTAGATCACTGTTCATATCCTCTGTAATGGTAGGAAGTATATGTTGCAGGAGGTCATCACCCCCTGTAGTGCCTTCAGTAGTGAATAAGGTAGAGTAAAAATCGGCACAATGTTCAGCAATAGATTCCTGGGTATCATAAATGGTTCCAGAGGTAGTAAGCAGTTTATGGATTGCATTAAACTTTCTCCTCTGGTTGGTTGAAATGTGGAAGAACCTTGTGTTTGAGTCCCCTTCTTTCAGCCACATTGCCCTTGATTTCACTCTCCAGTAATGCTCTTCAGCCTTGTGGGCTTCATCTAATTTGGTCTTCAAATCCCCCCACTCCTCCCAGTCTCTGAATTGACCAGCCTTTCTCATCCCTTCCAGTTTGTCTGTAAGCACATGAATAGTTTTGTCATTATGTTTGTGCAGAGGTTTGTACCAAGACAGCAAAGCCATCCTAGTACTCTTGAGTTTTTGGTGCACCTGAAACATTCTAGAGCCTTCAACAGAGATATTCCACCCTTCCTTCACAGCTTCTTGAACCCCTTTCATCTTGATCCATAGTTTATCAAATAGAAATCTCTTTCTTCTTCTAGAGACAGCTATATCTGTGGTGATTAGCAAGACATTATGATCTGAGGCCGTTCTATAAAAGTTCGAGACCTCCATCTTGGGGAACATCAGCTGCCAATTCCAAGAAGTAAATACCTTGTCTAGCCTCTCCTCTACATACCCATCTGCTGTTCTATTATTGCCCCATGTAAAAAATGCCCCTTTCTGCTCCATTTCCTGCATCTCCATGTCTGAGATAAATTGTTTGAACCCCTGAAAACTAGATTCCAACCTTCTTTGCCCTCCCCTTTTCTCCTCATTACTGGTTAGATCATTCCAGTCTCCTGCTATTAGCCAGCAAGGTCCCCACTTCTGTTTGCTATCCACCAAAAACTCCCATTGTCTCTCCCTGGTTGGTTTATCTGTGCTCAAATAGACAAATATCATCCAGCTCCAATCTTTACACCCTCCACTCTTCACTTCCATCTGAATACAGAATTCATTGCCCATCAGTTGTCTAACTTCAGTATCCATATCCCACATAACCAACAACCCACCTCTAGTACCAATAGGTTGTTCCAGGTGCCATCTATTATCATAACCCAGCTTCCTACAAACTGTTCTAGTAAAGCCAATAGATTTTTTGGTCTTAGATAAGAAAATTACATTAGGGTGGTGGACTCTTCTTGAGTCCTTGATCTGGGAAACTGTACAGGGCCCACCCAGCCCTCTACAGTTCCACACCATGGCCTTCATTTGTCACCTTGGGGCCATTTGAGGCTGGCCTTCTCCACCTTTGTCTCCACATTAGACTCTTTCCTCCTCTTTCCTCTTAAGTCCTCTTCTTTGTTAGTTGGATTCTCTGAGAATGATACAATTTCTCTGTTTCTCTTCAATGGTTGTTGAGGTGATGACTGATAAGGATTCTCCAAGCTGCTCAGAACCTGGTTCTGGACCTCCATCCTCACAAGTCTACCTTCAGTGGCTGCTCTTCTTTTCCACGTGGTGACTATTCTTGTACCCTTACCACCCTCTATAGATGGGTTCTTATCCAGTACTTTGCTCTCTACCAATTGGCCAGTTGAGGATTCCACATCCATATCCTTCTCTATCCCCTGGTCTGCCATCTGGGAAGGTTCTGCTACAGGAACTAGCTTCAACCCCCCCACCTCCTCATTTTCATTTGCGCCCTCCAAGTTGTCTCCTTCATGGGTCACCGTGTTTGTGGCATTTGGATCCCTAGTGATAGGGTGGTCCTGTTCAGTAATAGCATTAGCTGACACCAGAGATTCATTATGAAAATGTTGCTGGGCCTGACTGTCTTTCTCCCCTGAACTGCTAGCTTGACTGTATCTCCCCCCAAAGTAGGTTTCTTTCGCCTTCAGCCACTCCCCATATTGCCCTTCCGCCACTGCTTTTTTCTCAATATCCTCTGCTCTACTAGAACAAGCCCTATCCAGGTGCCCAATCCTACCACAGTAATAGCATAAGTTTACTAACCTTTCATATCTGAATGCCACCAACACTCTGAGAGGTCCAAGTTTAACTGATGTGCATCTGGGAATAGGTTCTTTCAAATTCAGAAAGACCAAGAGATTTAAGAAGCTATCTTGTTCACCCCCCATTTTGCAGATAACTACATTCTTGACCCCATTAAATATCTGTCCAATCCGCATCCCAACTTCTGTGCTCATCCAATGAAGTGGGATATTAAGTACTTGGACCCAGATGAGGAGTTCTTCAAAACATTTATGCGAGCTGTTCATACCTGGAAACCACTCCTTCAAGATGAGGTATTGGTTCTCATATAGCCAATTATGTCCTGCTGCCACTTTCCTTTTATCGTCTTGGGAAGAGAATGTGAATTGGAAGAAGTTGGAGCTGATTTCTTTAACTTCCATGGCATGCTGGAGTTTCCATATTGTGCTCATGGTACGTTTAACCCCCATAATCCCCGCCGGTCTATCTCCAACAATTTTGCCGAAGAGACTTCTATTGCATTCTTCTTCACTATTTTTCACATCGTCCTGCTGAAGCTCAATGTCCCTAGCTTCTTTGGCAGAAAGAGATATAGCGTGCAATTTTCTCATGACATCTTCGCCCAATTCGCTAGTGGATGTTCTTCCCGGAGATTTATCCCCCATTGCTGCACACACCAAGGAGCCCTAGAAAGAAAAAGGGTCGTAACGAACAATATCAAATGCCGTCGCCTATCCCTTACTACTTTCCACTCTACCAAGAACCAGATCACTCGATCAGAATACAATGCACTTCACCGAAGGAATTTCGCTCCCACCAGAAGAATTTCGCTCCCACCTGAGAGAATTGTGTGTCTCAGTGCATAATTTTACTTCATATAATGTCAGTTGGTATAATTTTTTCAAGTGTTAAGATGTCGGCAAAGTGTTTTATTTTTATTTGTGGGCTTCATCAACTTAATTTTATTTATAAGTCGATGAAAATGGAATTTTTTCTTACTCAGATCAAACTTCAGGACCTGAATGTGAAGATACTTGTTCCATTAATTTAAAGCCGCCCCTTAACCTTCCTAAGCTATTGAACTTAGTCACTTGAAGGTTAATACTTTAGCCGAAAGGGTATATCTTGCCGAGTTATAGAGCTCGGTTAAGATCAAGATAATCCTTAAAATTTTTTAGTTAAATATTAGTCTTGTCCAAGTTTAAAGGCTTGGCTACGTAAAGACTAATACTATACCGAGTTAAAGTTCTCGGTTCTTTTCAAGAGACTCTTTAGCACACAATTTTCTTATATTCATTAAAAAAGTGTACAGAGTCATATATACATCGTAAACAGTTACTGGAAATACTTCTTCAGATAAACAACATTCCAGGGATATGGAAGAGCAAGTCCGTCTGGCTTTTCAAGTCGGTAGGTACCTTTTGGAAGCACTTGACTTATCTTGAACGGTCCTTCCCATTTTGGTTTCAAAGGCCCCGGATCTGGTCCAGTAATTCTTTTAAGTAGCAGGTCTCCAACTCGGAATGAACGAGGTTTTATCTTTGAGTTGATATACCTCTCACTTCTTTGTTTATAGGCAACATTTTTGAGACCTGCCATGAGGCGAGTTTCATCTAAGAGATCCAAGTTGGTTTTCAGATTTTTCGAGTTGGTTTTGTCGTAGAAGTTTGTTACTCGGTACGTCGGGGATCCGAGTTCAACAGGGACAATAGCTTCTGATCCGTACGTTAAGGAGAAAGGTGTTTCCCCGGTTGCATGACAAACTGTCGTTCTGTAGGCCCATAATACATTTGGCAATTCTTCGGGCCAGTCCCTTTTGCGGCATCAAGTCGAGTTTTTAAACTGTTCTTGATTATCTTGTTAATCGCTTCGACTTGGCCATTGGATTGAGGATGATATGGTGAGGAAAAAAAAGTGTTTTATCTGGTAATCCTCACAAAAAGCTTCGAGTTGTTTTCCTTCAAACTGTCGATCGTTGTCGGTTATAATTGAACTCGGTACGCCAAACCGACATATGATTGATTTCCAAATAAAGTCGACAACTTTCTGTTCGGTAATCGTAGCCAATGGTTCAGCTTCAACCCATTTTGTAAAATAATCAACTGCTACAATAGCAAACTTTACGCCTCCCTTCCCAGTTGGAAGTGGACCGATTAAGTCGATTCCCCATTTTGCAAATGGCCATGGACTGTATACCGACTTAAGGGATTCTGGAAATTGATTAACATTTGGGGCGAATATCTGACATTTTGTGCATTTGCAAACCTAATTTGTTGCATCCATCTTCAAAGTTGGCCAATAATATCCTTGTCGAAGTATTTTATATGCTAATGCTCGTGCACCATTGTGATTTCCGCAGATTCCTTCATGAACTTCTTCAAGGACATATCTCGACTCTTGCTCGGTTAAACATTTCAGCAGGGGAACAGAGTATCCCCTTTTATAAAGGATTCCATTATCCAATGTAAATCGAGCTGCTCGAATTCGAAGAGATCGAGCTTCTTTTGGATTTTGTGGTAAGGCCCCTGTTTCTAAGTATGTTACAATCGGTGTCATCCAAGTCGGAGACTCTTGTAACTCGGCATTTATGACTCCTTTAATTGAGGTCGATGGCAATTCTTGGTAACCGACTTGGACATACTCGACATCTTCCATTCCAGTGCTTGATGCAAGTTTTGAGAGTGCTGTCATTATATCTTTTTTTTTTTTCTTTTTTATTTTACACAAAGTGAATTTTTAGTTGTGCCTTTAGAAGAATATGTCACAACAAAAGACGCCCAAGATCGAATGCTTGATGTTAAGCAGGATCCATCTTTCGAGCCATTTTTAGGATGGACGGAACCCCTTGATGTTATAAGGTAAGATGCCTAGATTGTGCATTCAATGTACTGCGTATAGCACAGAGCCCAAGTATCTAATTTTATGGACCGTTTGAAGGGGAACGTTGTGCATCCTGTTCGGGTACTGGAATGATAAAGAGTTCGATCGTATATTGACTGAGACAAGAGACAAATCTTGTAAACTTAGACTGGCTGCCAAAGAGCCTGCTTGGACTCGGATTGATATGATTACTGATATTCGTTACCCAGCAAATCTTAATGTAAGAGTATATATCATTTTGTTGTCTCATTCAGTAATTACCCTCCTAATCTTAATGTAGGAGTATATATCATTTTGTTATGATTTTTCAATTGGAACTAGTCAAGAAATCTTTGAAATAATGTTTTTTTAAAATATATAGGGCCTGAAACAAGCGTTGGCCGACAAATACGGTGAAGAGTCTTACTTTTATAAGACTGCTTTTAAGACGGTATATGATTTGACGAATCAATTCATTTTATCTTTGGCATCTTACATGAGTTGTGTCCAGATTTTATTTTTTTTCATGCACGAAACATGTGATTTGTTTTGTGTTTATGCTGCAGATTGAGGGAAACAAAGCTTATTTTGAGAAGAAGGTCACCCCATCCATTCACTTGTTAGGTCCTGATGCAAAGGGCCATGAGATTGACTGCATGCTAGTTAAGTGGTGTGTTGATGACATCTTTTATTTGTTTGACATTGGTATTCGCGTTATCTTTTAGTTCAAAGTATGCACGATTTTGTATTTAAATTGCTGGTAGTAAAGATATATGCTTATGAGAAACTGCTTTCTTATGATAAAGATGTCTTGCAATATCCTACAATTGTCCTACTTTATATTTTTGTGCTTATTGTTCTCCGGTTGTGAATATGAATTTTATGACCACACTTGAAAGAGCAATTTTAATGTTTTATGTTATGGTGATACATGCAGATTGTGGCTTTTGCATCGCTACACCACTTTTTGCTTTCTTATGTGCATTATGCAAGTGAAACCAAAATTCCAATATTGTTGGGTTTTGCATTTTCTTCATCACTTTTTGCTTTATTATGTGTGCAATATTTAAGTGCACCAAAAATTAAATATTGTTGGGCTATTACTGTTCCATTATAAATTTTCAGTATATATGCATCTATGATCTATCCAATTATAACTTTCAATATATATGCATTCCTTATTCTTTATTATATATGCATTCCTTCTATATTGAAATGTGGTATTTAAATATTTTTAACACAATATCAATTAGATTATCACATTTCAAATATGTACTTTTATTTTGGAATTGTGACGAATTCGTCTAGTATTTGTCCTCATATCATAATAAAAGTTGCATTATGCTAAATGTTATTTATTCGAGTATGAATGTCGGGTTCAAGTTTCAAGCTCAAATCTTTATCGAGCCTAACGTGTGCTTGACTCGTTCATCAATACTAACTAGCTGAGCTTAAACATTAACAAATCGAAATCCAATTTTAGCGAGTCAAATTAAAAAAATTACATAAAAATTTATATTTTTGAAAGTTGACCTCACAAGCGGCTCGTTTGGTTTAACAGTTCAAGTTACGAGTGATTCTATATTGAGGTCACATTACGTAAAATGTCATGTGAAATATAAACGAATACGTATACATATTGTAAAGCCCTTTTATTTAAGATAGACTAGAAAGCTCAAGCTGTCACGCATGTGCACGCACAGGTGGGTCCAGTTTAATCTCTATTAGTTTTTTATTTTTATTTTTATTTTTATTTTTCATTTTAAGGAGTGGACTCATTGGATGTATTCATTTGATCCACCCATCTATATATGTAGGCAGTGTTGTGAAAAATCAAACACTTTAACTTCTTAATTTGAATTCGACGTTCTTGATTCATATGTGTAAAAAGATTAATTTTCTATTAAATTAGAATAATATCCAGTATTGGAAATGTATTGTAATTCGAATTCTAATGTGCATATATTATATTATAATGTATCTAACTAGAATATTAATATGCATATATTATATTATAATGTATCGAATATTCGAGTCGTTAATAAATATATACTTTAAAATATTATTTTTAATATAACATTTTTTATATAATATATATTATATTATTAAAAAAATACTTGTATATTTCATAAAGCATATTGCATTTATTTGAAATATATTATATTAAAAGAATTTATTTTAAAATACATAAATGTATCTATAATCTACAAACAATTTATTAAAACGAACTTGGAATGCATTAGAATATAATGGAATATTTGGAGAATACTATAATTTGTAAATGTGCGTGGAACATATCAAATTAATTTGTGTGTGTATATATATATATATAAAGGTTTATATTTATTTGAATCACATTGAAGTCAAATCGAATTTCTGAATAAAAATTTTAAAATGACATCTATTTCAAATGAATATAATGTAATTTATTATTATTTACTTGCACCGTACGGGTCGTGTAACAATTTTAAAATGGACATATTCAATGTAATTTTGCACAATTTATATTTTATATAACATTTTCAATAAATTAATATAGGTATGTTGTATTACATATTGATTCTATATTTTTAATTTATAAATATTATTTAATGAATATTTTTAATTTATAAATATTAAAGAATATTTATTATTGTGTATCGCACGAGATATATGTACCAGTCTATACAATAGTAAAAAATTTGGAATAAATACATAGACCCGGCTTGAAAATGGAGAAAGGGGAGGGTAGGCCCAAATACAGCTTTCACAGTTTGATCAGACTAAGGGCAAAATCGTAATTTTGGGACACGTTCCCGCTCCCAAAGCACGCTACCATTGTTAATCTTACTCCGCCAGTTATTAACTTTCATAAATCGATAATCTTCTTCTCTTTCGCTTTTCTTCAACGCCTCCCCTTATTAGGTTTTCCTTGCATTTGACAGTTACCTAAGTTTTCAATGGCGTCCTTCGTTGAAACTCCGCCAGGCGATTTCAGATCAGGTGATAAGATCTTCAGGACCTAGTGCGCGTGCAATACCGTCGATAAAGGCGCTGGCCACAAGCAGGGTATTGTCATTTATTTTCTCGCTCTCCTGTTATTTTCTGAATTACTGTTCAATAACGTGCTCTTTNTGCGCCCGATCTGGTGTTGATGTTTATAGCGATCCAAGTGCTTGTTGAATCTGATTTTGATTAACAGAAGATTATTGTGGGGGTATTTTATCTGTTTCCTGTGACATTTCAGCCTATTTATAATGTAGTGCACTAGATACGGATCCTAGTTGTAACGATTTGGATTATATTCTTGGTCCATTGGATTATGGAGTTTTTTCCAATCAGCTCAGTCGGTAGGGGCACATAGATTTGGTTTCTTAAACTGGAAATATACATTTCTTGCTTAAATAGTCGCCTATGCTAATGGTTGTGTGCTCGAATACATGGCTGTATGTCAATCTGTGTTCTATTCTTGGTGAAGCATGTCATCTTGTATAACTTATTTTGCCTGGTTCTATTATGGTTCTTTTGGCTGATGGTGTTGACTTGTTCTTAGTTCTTACGCATAGTATCCTCATGTCTTTGTTATTTCCAGGTCTCAATTTGGATGACCTTTTTGGAAGACAGTCTGGTACTACACAACTGGTTATTCTTACTCAGCTGACAACGAGAACAAGACCGTGAACTGGGAAGAGCCTACACTTTATAACTACTTGCTTAATCATAAGAAGGTACATCAATAGGACCAATTTGTTTGAGAATTGGTTTATAGAATTCTAATCTGGATCTATAAGTACCCACTGTTTAAGATACCATTCCATTGTATGTTTATGGTAACTCTTTGTTAAGACATGTGTTTGTTGGTGTTTCATGGCATTTGAGATTAGGCATAACTTTTGGTTGTGAATATGACCTTTAAGTGTTATTTGGTTCTCATTCCGTCAATTCACGTAAAACCCGAGCTATTGTGTAGTAGGTGATCTGCAAGTTTATACGAAGAGTGTACCGTACATCTGCTGGCCCATATTATATTCCCCATGCGGTTTCACATCTGATAGGAGTGTATTTACGAACAAACTGAAAAAAAAAAAAATACTCTCCCCTAGAATTGAAATGTACAACAGGAATGGGGTTTTTCCATTAAAGAGTTACACGTGGCTTGAGATATGTACTACTATATGCAATATATATGCAGGAAAGTCCATGAGTACTTAGGTATTGTGCGCACTAGTAGATAATAGTATATAGATAGATAGATTAGGTAGCCCACAGATCATACGGTATTCACAAATGTTCTTTTTTGGGTTGGGCTCTTTAGATTTAACTTTTGATTCAAATCCACTGGCCAATAATAAGCATGCCGTGTGGAAGCTAATAACATTGTGGCACATTTACAACGCTTTTTTAATCCCCATAATCGGCGCATCTCAGCCACTATTCTTGTTCCGTGAAGATAATTTGTGCTGAAGATGCATGAGGTAGCCTTTTCTGAAATTTGTTCAATTCTTATGCAAATTTGGTTTGGATTTTTTAGGATTCTATGGCCGTAGAGGATCTGACGGCCGATTTCTCATATTATTCCTCCTCAGTTGATTTGGATTCCTCTGAGGTAGGTAACTCTTGTGGTAACTCTACTGCAATTGTTAATGGGTTGAAGAAGGCTGCTGATGTATGTGTGTGTGTTTGTGTATGTATAATGTATGTGATGTGCGTGTATGTATAATGTTGTTTGTGGCTTTTGATTTAGCCAAGATTTTGTAAAACAAATGGGTTTTGCAGGTTACTAATAAGAGAAAATATGCCGAGCATGAGGATGAGGATGAGTCGGAATCCCTTGGTGTCCCCTTCTACTTCCAACCTTTGAACCCCCATGCCTTTGATGTATTTTATGAGGTACAATTTCTTTTATTTGTTTTTAAACAAATAGTGTAGAGAAGGTGTGTTGCAATTTATCTCCATTAAAAGTACAATCTTTATATCATGTTTATGTTCCAAGATACTAGATATGAGGGGCTTCTTGTTAATAAAATCTTTCTATGTATTTTTTGTTAGACACCCGACATGGATATATTGTCTACTAAAGTATTCAAAAGTCTAGGAGATGGTGTTGGAGATCAGAAAACGTCTCAACGGTGTTTTAAATGGTGAAGTGGACGTGCATGCTTTTGAAGCAAAAGTAAAGAACTTTTCAGCAGATCGAATTTCTTAGAGGCGGTTGATGAGTCTATCCTGGAGGTATATTCTAGTGTCATTTAGTGAGCAAAAACTACCTATTTCTAGAAGGAGCTGTCATTATATCTTTCTTTTTATTTTTCACAGAGTGAATTTTTAGTTGTGCCTTTAGAAGAATATGTCACAACAAAAGACGCCAAAGATCGAATGTTTGAAGTTAAGCAGGATCCATCTTTTGAGCCATTTCTAGGATGGACGGAACCATGGGATGTTATAAGGTAAGATGGCAAGGTTAATGAGTTTCTTTACTTTTGTAACAGAGAATTCATCTAACTTTTTTTCTAATCTTCTCTACACTTACATCTTCTAATACAATTTTTAAGTTAAAAATTAATTATTACTACACATCTATCTATAAAATTTATTATTCCCTCCTATTTGTATTATTTGTCACTTTGGCTTAATTGATCATTGATTAAATAAATGTCGTTTTAGTTTTTTTGTTCATATTTTTTCATTTTTAACCCTCATACACAGTGTCTTTTATTATTTGTCATTTTGGCTTAATTGATCATTGATTAAATAAATGTCGTTTTAGTTATTTTGTTCATATTTTTTAATTTTTAACCCTCATACACAGTGTCTCTTCATATCACATCTCCATTGTTTCCCAAACATTCATTAAATAGGGTTAATATTGGCAACAAAAAAAATTCTTAATTAGCGTGTTGCTTCTCAAAATGACAAATAATAAAAATAGGAAGGAGTATTCATCTATTCACTAACTACTAATTATTATTTAGTTATTTTATTTTCACACGACAAGAAACATTGCATCATGTTAAATTAAAAAAAAAAAGCCATTAATTCTTCTACTAACTTCTTTTCACCATCTAAAAATTTTCACTCAAACAAAAATATGTCCAATCACGCAGTTTATCATAGCCATGTTAACTATTTTTTTTACATACATCATCCAAATATAAAATATCAAACTTTTGCACATTAAGTTCCTGCCAAATTCGATGAAAAGTGAATTTGTATTCCCCAATCTATGGTTCTAAAGAATAATTCAATCATAATAATTATTCTTAAATTATTGGAAGTTTTATTTGAGAGTGTGATTAAATTGACTTAATAGGTTAACACTACCAATTTGTATATAGAAATTAGTCTTTGAAATATCAATATAAATATTTATTTTAATCTACCATTGTCTCAGCCATCCCCACCACATCATCCCGCAAATATCAGAGTTTATTTATTTTGTTCCTATTTAGATTTCTATTTGTGAATCATTCATTAATAAAAAAATCACAAGTATCTATCAATCTATTACATAAGTATAAAAATAAATATATTTTTTAGACCAAACAAATATGCATATAGGAAGAGAGAATAATATTTTTCAAACGAAATTACAGAAGTAAAAAAAAAAGTATTTTAATTGTATTTATCACTAAGAGTCTAACATTAAATATATTAATATTTATTCGTTTGAGTAGTTACAATTTGAGAATTTAAGAAGTTGTATCTTATTCGGATTCTGATGCAAATACTAATCCTTCAAGTATAATAACCAAAAAAAAAGGAAAAAAAAAAAAGAAAAATATCAATGTTGAACTATGCATAAACATAACACTCTATCCAACTTTTACACTTATCTATAACAAAATTTTTCAGTAGTGAACTATGAATATACTTGAATGGATATCTAAATTGGAAATTATTATACTAATTTATTTTTAATATAATATTTTTATGATGCTTATTTATTGTAAAAATTATATTTTACTTGCACATATAACATTAATTTAATTGGAATTGTGTTATTCAAAATCATTGTTTATTTAGAGCATTCTGAAAACATATGACCGGAACAAATCAAATACAATGCCATATTTAATATAAAATTTTTGATCAAATACGAGGATTCAACAACGCGAGTTTTTTTTTAAAAATATTCTACATGTCCCAATATTTTACGTACTAACAATTAATGTGAATTATGGTAAAAATATTCTACATGTCCCAGTTACGTACTAACAATTAATGTGAATTATGGTTTAAAAATTAATAATGATTGAATTTATATTTTGATATTCTTTATAATAATATTCTTTCAAGCAAATTAAATACATTTACATTTCATGAATGTGCAAATTAAATCACGCCCTCAACTTTCAATGCTTAGCCAAGCTCATATCGATAAGAGAGAGGACTGCAGTGAAGTTAAATGTTGGTACGAAAAAATCTTTTACCTGCAACAAGGAGATTTCTTCCTATTTTTGGTCATTCATATCTTTTCTTTTAACTGTCCGTATTTGTTTTTTTTCCATACTTGTTGACCACTTAAATTTTTACTTCCCGTTCTTTTCTCTTCTTAAAGTTTCTTTCTTCCAGTTCCTTCCTTTCTCTTCACCCTTTTTTTCTTTTACTACTTCCTCATTCACTTTTCC